TGTTCATACAGCAGTAGTGGTTGAAAATAGACGGACTGTTTTCGGTTAAAAGTATGAATCAGTGAAAACATTGTTCATATCATAAAAGAGTTAATCCTCTTGGAAGTTAATCCAGGGTTTGAAGAAAGTGGCGTGAGGCGTTAACTGAATCAAGTGTCCTCGCGGATTCTCGAATCGGTTTTCGCTAGTGAAACATCGGGCGTCTTAGTTTGTAAGATGTGATCCTGATTCACCACGCCATAGAATATGGGACTCGTGTGGCGCCCAGTTTTGGGATGCCCGAGCATTACTGCATATTCCTTATCGTCGCATAGTGCCAATGGCGCAATTATTGTGGGGAAAAACCATGCAGTGAACAAACTCTTTAACAGAAACGATAGTTGCAAAGTTGAACAATCGAATGTTCGGATGTTCATATTGAAACTGATTTGTTTTCATGAATGTGACGACATTAAGTACTGCTTTGAAGTGTTTTCATAGAATATGATATGGTTTATTCAGTGTCACTTCACAGCAAACGAATTGGCATCAGCGAAATGTTATTTTCAGTACTGTGCCGAATTTGTTCTCAAATATCTGAAATACTTCAAAAATTAAGTGAAATTGATTCAGATCATAAAAGTACAAGTGATCAAGGCCGGTGATTGCAAACGTCCAGCAGTGAAGCAATTCCATAACTCCAAGATTCATTTCCCACTTCCACATCGCGTGACCAAACGACGAAATGCAGCCGTTTTCACGACACGTCGTCCACGAACTCATTTCGCTTGAACTGAAATTTATGGAATTGAAATGAAATGGATTTTGATTGAAATATGATATTTGATGGATTGTTGCGTAAATTGTTGTTGTTATTTTATGATTGTGATTCACAGAATAAATAATCGTTCATTGTTGCTTGAATTCCGTGAAATTTTTTCTGATTATTCATTCGTCTTGAATGAAGGCGTTCAATCGTCGTCTCATATTTGATGAGCTTTTCCTATTTCATCAGTTTTTTTTTCAGTTTTAATTATTTTCATGTTTTCATTTCATTTGGTCGTCTCTTTTTTCCGCAGTTTCTTGACGAATTGTGCAAAGTGTTAGATTTCGCTAATATCTCAGAATCAGTCACATTGCAATTTTTGTATTAAATGCAAAGATTGCGGGATAGAGTAGATCTGAATGTTTGAAGGGGATACAGTGTTGGTAGAAGAAGTTATAATATTTACGAGAGAATGCTATCATGATAACTAGTC